ATATCCTTCCAAGATTGGATCAGCTCCCCCGTAACAAAGACATAACTTAGAAGTACCCTTCAAGTATCTGAAAATCCATTTGACTGCCTCCCAATGCTCCTTCCCGGGGTTAGAAAGAAAACGACTCACTACACCCACTGCATGAGCAATATCTGGCCTGGTACATACCATTGCATACATCAAACTTCCAACTGCTGAAGAATATGGCACTGCAGACATCTCCCCCACCTCTTCCTTGGATGTGGGACATGATCTTTTGCTCAACTTGAAATGATTCGCAAGTGGAATACCCACTGGTTTGGCATCACTCATATTGAATCTTTCAAGTACTCGTTCAATGTACTTCTCTTGAGATAGCCATAACTTGCCGTTCTCTCGGTCTCGAGTAATCCGCATCCCAAGAATCTGTTCAGCCTTTCCTAAATCTTTCATATCAAAAGACTTGGAAAGTTCTTTCTTCAACTGACGTATCTTCTCTGCATCATTCCCAACGATCAACATGTCGTCAACGTACAATAGAAGAACTATGAAAGCCCCGTTTGGGTATCTCTTGATGTAAACACACTCATCTGCAGTAGTCTTCGTGTAACCTTGACTCTGCATGCATGAGTCAAACTTCTTGTTCCACTGTCTTGGTGCTTGCTTCAGGCCATACAAACTTTTAGATAGCTTGCACACGAGGTTCTCACTTGAAACCTCAAAACCTTCTGGCTGTTGCATATAGATTTCTTCTTTCAAATCTCCGTGAAGAAAAGCTGTCTTCACATCCATCTGTTCAAGCTCCAGGTTCATACTTGCTGCCAAGCCAAGTATGACTCGAATTGAGGTCATCTTGACAACTGGTGCAAAGATCTCGTCAAAATCAATCCCTTTCTTCTGCTGAAAGCCTTTGACCACCAATCGAGCTTTGTGTTTCACCACTTGTCCATTTGCATCTTTCTTCAGCTTGAACACCCATTTGTTTTTCAAAGCCTTTTTCCCTTCTGGAAGTTTAACAATCTCATAAGTTTGATTTTTCTGCAGAGAATCTAATTCTTCCTGCATCGCAATCATCCATTTTTCTTTATCCTTATGAGATATGGCTTCTTGAAAACTCTCTGGTTCTCCATCTTCTGTCAATAGAAGGTATTCAGATGATGAGTACCTTTTTGATGGTATATGACCTCGTTCAGATCTACGAGTGGGTATAACCATCTGAGAAGAACTTCCAACGTTGGTGTCTGGCAAAATGGGTTGTGGCTCCCCTTGCTCTGGCAAGATGGATTGTTGCTCCCCTTGCTCTGTCAAGATGGGTTGTTGCTCCCCTTGCTCTGCACTCTCTTCTGTCTCCTCGTCTCCTTCTGATACATCATCTTCATTGTTTCTCCAGAACAATGCTGGCGCTTCATCTGAAACATGAGCACCGACATTTGACTTCTGAGACATATTGGGTTTTTCTATGTCTTCTATTGTCAAATTCTCTTGGAACACAACGTCCCTACTTCTGATCACCTTTTTCTCCTTTGGATCCCAAAATCTGTATCCAAACTCTTCATCTCCATAACCAATGAAAATGCATGGGATGTACCTCGCATCGAGCTTCTTTCTGAGCTCGTTGGATACATGTGCATATGCTACACAACCAAATACCCTGAGATGTGAGTATGTCGGATCCTTACCAGTCCATATTCTCTCTGGAACTTCAAAATTTAATGGAACTGAAGGTGATCGGTTGATTAGATAACATGCGGTCTTGACAGCTTCTCCCCAAAATGGCTTTGGTAATTTAGCCATATTCATCATGCTTCGGACACGCTCCATGATAGTCCGATTCATTCTTTCAGCAACGCCGTTGTGCTGAGGGGTACGTGGAACTGACTTCTCATGCCGAATGCCATATGTATGACAATATGCATTGAACTCCTTGGAAGTATACTCGCCTCCATTATCAGATCGGAGACATTTCAGCTTCTTTCCTGTTTCACGTTCCACCATGACGTGAAATGACTTGAAGTACTCGAACACCTGGTCCTTCGTATTCAGGAAATATACCCACACTTTTCGAGAAGCATCATCAATGAAAGTCAGAAAATATCTGCTTCCACCCAATGATTCAACCTCCATGGGACCGCAAACATCAGAGTGTACCAAACTTAACAACTCTGATCTCTTTGTTGAATTGGCATTGAATGAGACTCTGTGCTGCTTGCCGAACAGGCAATGACTACAAGAACCCAATGCAGCACTCTTATCAACCTTGATAAGATCCTTCTTCATTAGGGTAGTCAACCCTTTCTTACTCATATGACCAAGTCTCTGGTGCCATAGATCCTGGGAAGCCTCCTCTGCAACATTGAGACTTTCTGTACTAATCTTCAAATGTGTTTTGTACAGCGTCCCACAAACATGTCCTCGGGCAATTTTCAGAACACCCTTTGACAACTTCCATGTGCCTGCACCAAAGTGATTGTCATATCCTTCTTTGTCAAGAGCCACCACTGAAAAAAGATTCAGTCTAAGATCCGGCACATGTCTAACATCCTTCAATAGGATTGTACTCCCGGTTCCTGTCGTTGCCTGGATATCACCAATTCCGGCAATAACAGAGGAACTGGAATTTCCCATCTTCACCGATCCAAAGTCTCCAGCTTGGTATGTTGTGATGTATTTCATGTTGGGAGTAACGTGATAGGATGCTGCAGTATCTACCACCCATTCCATGTCTTCTCGTGAAACATGAAGGCATGTCTCACCATGGGTAGAGCAATATGCTACCTCCCCTGAGACAGTGATGAGAGTTTCACCACCCTTGCCCTTGTTCTTCTGCTGAGAACTATTCTTCGGCTGAGAATTGCTCTTGCCCTGCTCCTCGAGCCATTTATAACAATTCTTCTTCATATGACCTTCTAGACCACAATGATAGCACACATGTGATCTCCGCATCTGATTGCCTCCCCTTGCTTCTACCCCTGCTCTTCCCTCTACCGCTTCTTTGTTGCTTGCCTTGTGGTCTTCCTTGATTCTCCATTACAAGGGCATGGGTCTGATCTGTGCCCATGTCTTTTCTTCTTGCCTCTTCATTGAATAAGGCATCCTTCACAACGGACATGGAAAGTTTTCCGTTTGAGGCTGAATTGCTGAGAGTAACAACGAGTGTTTCCCAGCTATCAGGAAGGGAACTAAGAAGTAGCAGAGATTGCATTTCATCTCCAAGCGGCATCTCCACACAAGATAGCTGATTTACCAGGCTCTGGAACTCACTGGTATGCTCGGCAACAGAAGTTCCACCTTTCAACTTCATATTGACTAAGCGCCTCATCAATAAGGCCTTATTTCGAGCGGTCTTGGCCTGGTACATGTCCTCCAGCTTCCTCCAAAGGACATATGCGTCGGTTTCTTGTGCAACATGATGGAAGACACTATGGTCTATCCATTGTCGGATTTGACCAATAGTTTTTCTATTGATTTTCTTCCATTCTAACGCCTTGGACGGATCAGGGTTAAT